GTATGTGCTTATTTCGTGAAAAATTATTCTGTGTTATAACAGATGTTGCATCACTTCTCCATAGTACTAAATGCACTGGCAAGGTCTGCACAGCCCATAGAACAGGCGTGGGCTCAGGAACTTCACTCATTGCCACTGAAGTACCTAGTGTCTTTCTGTGACTGTGTAAATTTCCATACATACAGGTTTGCATAGGACTCTACTCCATGGCTGAATAACTCATCCTCTGCTCCTAGGCGGGTTCTGAATTTGTGCAGCGAGGTAGCTTGGTATGATGCATGGTGGAGGTGGACGGCTGCCTGCACCCCCATCCTACTTCCTCCACTGTCGCTGGTGATAGCACAAAAATTGAAGTCCTCTTCTCAGTGTAGTGTTTACAGCAATAAGCTAGGGGGAGAGGGTGTGAAATGAGATATTAGAGGGGAAACTCTGTGTATTGTATGCACCATCACCTTCTATAACACAGAAATGGCTCTATGGGCATTTTCTAAGAAGATACCAGCTGTGAGCCATGAAATGCATGTTTGAGTAAATACAAATTGTTTGCAACAGAGACTGAGCAACGGTCGCTGCGCAGTTATTCAAACAGCTGCTTGAATTGATGGAAAAGGTGCAACGAATGGAGAGGTCAACTTCATAGTGCTGCTCTATCCCTGCATTTGTCAGTGAAAAATATACCAGGTTTAGAAACTTGGGTATCTCAGAAAAAAATTATTTCCCCTCGTTGATACTGGACTTTACCACACTAGCAAGTATGCAGGCTGTTATTTAGCATAGTATCAGATAGTATAATTATCAAAAGTGTTACTATTGGATACAAAGTGATTCTGGCAAGTATAGCTTTTAAGGTGTTCGAAAATATTAGGGTGACTGCAGATGGTTTTGATATTTGCTATCTGTGGATGCGTAAATTATAGGACTCAAGCTAGTTCCCGATTTCTCATTATGTGAAAAAAACCAAAAAGGTTCATTTTTAGAAACGTAACTAAACTACAGTGAGTGTTGCTATGTTTTCAGATGGGACTCTCGTTTCACTACCTTAGTGCAACTACATCTTAACTTCAGTAAGTAACAGATGTTTGAGGATGTAAACAAGAAAGTATTTCTGGGGCCAACCTTAGGGTTGGCTCCTGGCATTTTCTACCTACTTCTGCATAGATTACAAAATTTCAATCCATAGCTCAGAGCCTCACTTCTTTGCAAAATACCACCATACATCAAATTTTTCTTAATCAAGATATATTTACAAAATTGAAAAGTCTAATGTGGCTGGATATGGCATCGTGTCCTGTGGACTCCCCAAAAGATGCATTACTACAGCCATTCTGACATCCTGAAATGGCTGACACCTGGCTTTGAAGGCAAAATCTGTAAGCAAAGAGAAAGAAACCCATAGAAAAATCTGTTACTAAAACCTGTGGGTGCTTCACCTTCTATGGGCTTTCTGTTTTGAAGTGAACAAGCCAGGGAAGCACGTGATGTTGTCAAGAGTTTGTAATGCTGTTGCAGTAGCATTTTAATTAGTTGGTTTTGTATTTTTACTAATATAGAAAATTGAACATTCAAGTACCTAATTAGTGAACAGCTATTGCAGCGAGGCATTTGGTGCCAAGGAAGAACACAAGATACTTATATCTTTTTATAAATTCATTTTCACATCTTTCCAGAAAGCAAAAAGTGGAGGGCAAACACGAAGGGCCTCTAAGCAGAAATACAAGTTGCGCATATAGACAAGATCTAAACCCACCTCTTTCCCATTTGCTTAAAATAAAACACTAGACGTCTGTGGCTGCACTGAGTTTCAGTTTAATCCAGTTAAAAACTAATCTATACAAAGTATAGAGTGGGGCTGCTTTTTTTTCTTTTTTCCCCCTACATATATTGCACTGGAGGGTATGAACATTTACCAAATCTTACCCCTTCATCCTCCTACCAAAATCCTAGCCAAGTACAAAACCAAATCTCTGCATCTTTGTCTTGAAACTGGTGTCTGTATGAAGTTACATTCAGTTTTCTTGTAATCACCTCCTAAATGAAAAGCAGAGTACAGGTGAAAGCACTGGTGCCCACAATATTCCAGACTCTTATTTATCTGTGATTATAGCTTTCTACTTCCTCACTTAGCTGTAAGCTGTTTTTTCAACTTTAAAAAGCTCCTGAGAAATCAGTACCAGGGCAGAAATATGCTTTTAGTAGCTAATACTTTTAGTCTCTTTTATGGAAGAGAGAACCCAATTACAAGAAGACATCAGCATCAAAAACAACAAACAAATTAAAAAGCAACAAATCTGCTAAACATTTCATGTGTAAGCATGACTTCAGCACATTGCGTAAACTCACAGTTCCTCCGTGAGATAATTCTTATTTAAACCACACTTCAGAATTGATCCACAAAAATAGTTTGGTGACTTTTTATTATACTCGGAAGGAGACCTCCTTTAGCCTGGGCCTGAAGAACAATACCCTTCCACTACAGGGGAGGATGAGATGGACAGTATTGGGTGAACATTGTCTGTCGATAGAGCAGACCTGACAGACCATCTTTTGAAAGAACATTCACTCGGTCCTTGCTATCTTTGTGGACATGTGATACAGATACCCATGCATATGAGGTTTTTGAATTGGGTGGACGAGCACGAAGCTCTAATTTGGGCTCTCATCTGAAAAACATGTAGGCAACACACTTAAGACATGTTCAGTAGGAGTTTGATAACTTTAAGTGTTATTGAAGACTGAGGCTCTGACTTCCACATAATTTAGCACAAATAATTGTCAGTTCAACTAAACCTTGATTATTGTTAGAGATAAACCCAATCACCAATTCTAAGGTTTAAAAAACTACCTGTTTCCATTCCTAAAAAATGAACAGAAAATCTGTAGATATTGCTGAACTGCAAGCCTCCTAATTAAATTAACACTGACAAGAACAACATTTAGGTCGCAATTGAAGGAAAGAGGTGCACCCTTTTACACTGAACGCACCTCAGTGGCTAGTTGAAATGCAAAATGAGGAGCTTTTGCTAATACTAACTTATGATGAAACAACAAGTGAAAACTCTGCCTTCTCACAAGCGGTGGCTTCAGAGTCACCACTGATGCTCACTACACCATGGCAAGCAGAAGCCGAGTGCAGCACCTAAGTTAAAACAGTTCTTTACAGAACTCAGGATGTTTCAAAGTAAATGGGATAAGGGGGATATAATGCCCATCTCCAACAGCAGGGAGAGTCAGGATCTTACAATCAAAATGTAAGAGGTTGCACTGAAACCGAAGCCTGAGCATTGTGTTACAAAACATGTCATTATGTATAATGACATTTGTTAGGAGGCAGATGTAGCCTCAAGGAATGATTTGTATGGCAGAAATGCTTTCACACCACAGGTTTCAGTCCTTGATTCTGTACAAACTTCTGTGGCTGTATCATTTGTCCTCTGTAAACTTTCATGTGGGACAGGGAGAATAGAAAAAAATTTCCCCTCACCTTTTCCATGACATTTGAATAATTCCCTCTTTGTTTCCCTCCTTGCTGTTACCCATTATCAGGCTACAACCCCAAAGCCAGGGCTGTGTACTAAGAAACTCCGTTAGTCTGGATGTAGCTGCAACTATGTCCGAGCCTCTTGGCAAACAGAAAAAGTTGTTGAAAGCGATTTTAGTCTCCTGACAAAGACATAATCAAACTGATGTTAGAATTGCATGGAAATGACAAACAGTGAAGAGACTGGTTTTGGAAACTAAATTAAAATGTTAATCACTTGCATAGAGAACAACCAAAAAAAGGTAAAAGAAGTCCAATTGTTTGAGTGGTATAAATGAAGCAAATGTGACATGACAACTAACAAGATGAAACAGATAAGGAAACCTAATCTGTTCCAGCAGTAAGTTCTGTTACATTGTGTGGAGACCGAGAATATGCTCAGGCCTTAAAGAAGGCCTGTTTAAGGCCATGTTTAAGAAGCCTTAAACATGGAAGGAATATGCCTAGCTTCTATCAAAGTTTTTCACAGTGAGAAACTTCCCAAATGTCAGTACAAAATGTAAGTAATTGCCTCCTGTCTTTTTCGAGTTTGCCTAAAATATTCAAGTCTTATTCTGAAAGGAACATCTTTCCATAACAGAGGCTTGCCTCTGTTTCTTTGCTCAAAACCCAGATGATCTCCTTTAATGATACTGCAGCAGTTAGCCACAGAACAGGAAGGAAATGCAAAGGATGCTTGCGGAAGTGTGTGTGTACCAGTTCAAAGCCAGCATTATACAATCAGAACAATCCATGTTTTAAAAAAACAACAAAAACCCAAGCAAACAAAAAAATCCAAACAGGGTTTACACTTTAGGATACTTCCAGTCTGAAATGAATGACAAGCAAGGACAATCACACAACTTCTCAACATTATAGTAAAACCCACAGGAAAATCAACTTATTCTTGTAAAATCATGGCTTAGAATATTAGGGACCTGTCCTGGTTCAACACCAAAATAATACAATCAAGTAGCACCCCTGTTTTAGGATGCTTCATAAACCTACACCAACTGTTGAAAGACTAAGAGTGAATAGTGAGACTCTTAACAAGTCAAAGATTCATGTGTGAGATAGAGCTTTCTGAAGCACATGGTGCATTTTGAAAAATCTGGTATTATCAGAGGAGGTAGGATAATCTGTACAGAAAAAGACAATGAGTCTTGTTCTGTTTTGCACAATATTTCCATCAACATAAAAAACTCACTTAATAACATGCAAAAATTTGAGATTAGCTGGCATCTGATGAAAGAAACGGGGACAAAAGCATTGTCCCAAGAGCCAGTTGAGTATTCAATGGCTACACAGAATTAATCTCAACAAGGAGGACGGTTCAGATCAATACACCAGAAGCACAGCCTTTTGAAGGCTTACAGTAAAATTCTTAGGCTTCGGTAAACATGAAAAATATTCACTGTTCCACATCATAATTCTTTGCTGTGTTTAGATTTTAGAAAGTGCAAATTTTCTGTGATTAAGGATTAGAAGTTTGATTTTTATTTGGTCTCAAGGAAGAAAGGGTTTGATAGTGCTGGAAACGGTAGGCCTTTATCTATGGTCTTTGTTTCCCCACATTTTGCTTCTCAGCATTTCTGGAAAGAGTTTCTACATAAAACTAGACCTAACTTAACATTCAGGCCAGTTCCCTGCTTCCTCTCTGAGAAGATTTCGATTCATGCCTAAACACAGAATGGCAGACATCTCCTCCCTTTTTTGTAAGAGAAGAGTTCAACAGTTCAGCCCCCTGGCCACAAAAATCTTTAGTATTAATAGTTTCCTTAATTCCCTCTTCTGTTACAGCCTCTAAATGATCCCCTTGTGTTTCTCACTGATGCATTGGAGAGAAAATTAGCTTATAGTTCAAATCTGATTGATACTTCATCTCTAACATTCCCAACGATTTTACAATCTGGGGAAGAAAGTGGAGAGTTCATGTTTTACTCTGATTTCCTGCCCCCCACCCCCCCCACCCCCCCCAAATAATAAAGATGCTATAAAGTTGAGGCACAAGTGGTTAAGGGTGAACTTGATCAGTTCTAGCAGCTGGTTCTTGAACATGTCCTGGTGGTAAAGGCTGATCACCTCCCGCAGGATGTTTTGGTGCATCTCCAACTTTGTGTTCCCCAGCTGTAAAACAAGAATAAAACAATTTGTAACTTCTCAATTAAATTGGCCCCAAATACGAAAAGTCTCTAAAGGAAAGCTTCTAGTGTAGAGATAATCAAACAAAAACTTCTATTTTTTGGTTTGTAAGTGGAATCAAGAATTTTGTATATGACTAACAATGAAATTGGTTGAGATTACCCAATAGGCTGCATTATTATAATATTCAGTGTTTCCTCTTAGATTACTAGTTGTTTCTGTTTTTATTTTAACTTACATAACACATTGGTTCTTTGGAGATTGTTCTTTCTGAAATACATTATATGTTCATGAAACCTTTAATCCCAATATTGAAAGCTTGGAAAAAACAAAATAACTTGCTCCTCCATTTTACTCCTCACTGTGTCAACAATACTTACAACATTTTCCCTTTGCCTACCTTTGAATAATACTAATTTTCATAGTTTGCTGAAGATTTCAGAATTTGCAGCTGCTTTTTTTGTGACGCCCCCCCCCCCGGCCCCTTAAATTACCCTTAGTAGCTCCAGTAGCTTACAGATTAGAAATATTGTCTGCTTGGATCTCCTTAAATCAGTGAACAAGTAGTGACTAGTTCTGGCTAATATAATGAATTGTTATGACACCTGATTAAATGACTTTGCAGGAAGTTTCTACATAAAATATGTGTTAAGAACAGTATCTGCTACAATATTGCCAGCATCAAAACGTATCATTAGTCCAACTTCCAGGGCATCTGCAGTTGCACATGATATTTTTACTGAAGGTGAGGGGAAGTGAGGCTCTCAGAACTAAGGATCATAAATGAAATTACCCATAGGCAGTTTCAAAGCAAATTAAAGACAAAATTGAATTGGTACTGAAATTTCATTATTTCTCTTCACAGAACTGAGTGACTTAGGGATAGAATTTCAGGGTACTCAACAAAGTCAGCTGTAATCACTGAATATAGCATTTAAAGTTTGAAATCCCACTGCTGGCCCTGCAGAAGCAGTTTAGAGCTTCCAGTATTCAAAAGGCTGCCTGGATATAGTCTGAAGCCTTATGTTTGAGATGAATGTCAAGAAGTTCTTGAGCTCTACTGATAATTTTAGCTCATGAACATGGAAGCCAATAAAGCCATATTAGTTTCAACCCTTCTAGAGGGTAAGAAAAAGCTAAGTTAAGACGTATGGGAGAGCAGAGCCCTTTTAAAGCACAAAAGAAACATGGACAATGTGTTATGGACAAGAAGTGCTAATATATACCTGATCATTTTGTTGGCATCAATGAGCAAATGCAATGATTTATTATGACACTATCTTCTTCTGAGGGTGTTGAAGCAATTGGTCGTTCATACTGTCTAGAACTAACCTGTCATGTCATGTTGTGCCCAACTGCTGGTAAATTGGCCACTGAGGACAGACCTGTTGAAAGCATTTAAATGCTTTGATTTGTTCTGCAGTCTGAGACTGGTAATGCAGCCACAGAACATCAGACAGACCTGGTCATTCGTATGTCCTTATTCTTCTCTGGATGCTCAGAAATCCTAGATATCCTATATCTCAGTATTTTTAGACTGACAGACACAACACAAACCTCCTCTTCTGCCCATTTGATGCCCTGAGTTAGAACCCTGTTTTTTTACTATGGACTTAAAAGCACAGAGATTTCAGGAATCCTTTAGAAGAGTTCTTTACTTCCTTCTTAAAGACAGTTTAGTGAACTTCTCTACAGAGATTATTAAAACCACATTATATTAACAGTTTTAACAGAAAATATAGTTTTAGTGACTTTTACATTGGAGATCTTATTTTAAAGTTTGTGTATCTACACAGAAAGACACATACGGGGTTGGAATTTCAGTTCTCCAGCTGGTCCTGCAGGAGGATTTCCTTGCTGTAGTTTCTTTTGTTCCATCTGTTTTACAACCTGGTGAAAAATAAAATACAACAGTTGAAAAACTTAAAGCTGTCAACTTTCTCTGATGTAATATAAATGAATACACTTAAAACAATTTGGCAGTCATTATGTAAAGTCTTTGTTAATGGGTATACTACTGAGTTGAGATGCTTGCATTGTTCGCCATAATCCTGAATACTGGAGTATGTTTTGCTGTGGTACCATTAGCTTAGAATTCAGCTGAGACTCATATGAGAAATCAAGGTAAAGAATGCTCCAGAGCTGGGAATTGTCATGAGCTGTTACACATATAAGGATACAGAAAAGGACAAAAAAAAAAATTCTGTTCTCGCAAGTGTACCTGCTGAAGCTCTTGTTTCTGAGCCTGAAGCTGGTCATGCTGCCTCTGTAGCTCTTCCTTCTGCTTCTGAAGATCTTCTGCCTTCTTTCTAAGTTCATTTCTGCTGAGAAATATGACTTTCAAATTCCTTCAGCTCATCCTCAGTGAAGAGCTGCTGTTGATCTAGTGTCTGCAAGAAAATACATGCAAACGTGAATACTTAGCCAGGAATGCATATATATTTTTATTATCTTCCCACCAAAATTATTATTAGCTGAATTGTACAGTTCACTAAACAACCCCCAGAATTTTCATCAAAATATACAGACATGACACTGTAAAAGGTTAGTACACTCACTGTAAGAAACAGCAAAACAGCCATTTCTCAGCCATTTTCTCAGCAAAATTTTACTACAGATTTAGAGGTAGGAAAAAAATTCCTCTGGCTTCCAGCTGAGCTCTTATCTTCCCTTTAATGAACAAAATGTCCATTTTCTGTTTGAAAAGCATGTGGGAAAAGCTCTTCCACAATCCACAGGGTGGCACAAGACCTTTTCTGTTTGTGCGTGGACCATAACGATTACATCTGCATTACATTAGTCTGCTGCATTTTGTACATTACATTTAGCTAAGGCCCTTAACCACAAACATACCAAAACAGAACTGAAAAAAGCAAAGGTCAGAGACATGCCATTTGGTTTCCTGGTTAGACTGATGGTAATAGTACCGTATGTTGCACTTGGAACACGTTCTTATTACCTCCCAGCTATCTGGCTCCAAAAATTCTTTTTTCTCTGTAGCTCGCAGGAACTCTTCCAAAGTCACTAGACGGTCCTTGTTGATGTCAACCTATGTGAAGCAAAAAATTAAACTCAGCCTAAAAGATGGTTTTGATGGAGCTAATGTTTATTTTCATCATGCAAATATCTTCAAATATAACCACTTTATTTTTAAACTGTCCAATTTTCAAGGGAATGCCTGCATCATCTTCTGAAAACTTCTCTCACAAGCTTACATAGCATAACAAAAACAGAAAGAAAAAGTAAATCCTCACATTTTACTTCAAAATTCATTGGCTTTATTGGAAACATTATCTATGGTCACAGCCCCAACAAGGGGAATGCATGATTTTTTATGAGAAAAATGTTTTGTAGCTTTCTGGTAATAATTTTGTAACTGTGAGTCAGAGTAATCTCCACAGTTGGATAGGGAGGTTTTAAAACATCAGAAAACCCTCAACTGAATTGTGTCAGAATCCTTTAAGGGGAAGGGAGGAAACACTTCCCTTTATGACTAATAGAAGACCAGGCTTGCTCCACTCCTCAAGCTTAAGGAATATAGTTGAATACAGAAAAGATAGGAGTGAAAAACACGGAGGTTCAAAACATCCTCTTCCCTTTCCTCTGTCTCCTGAGCTGAAAACCTATCAGAACTAGTAAAGGTATTCACTGTCATAGGTGATACCTTAAGCTCTGAGCCCTCTTCTGAAGGGGCAAAGGTGAGCTACATGAAAGAAGACATTGCTCTACTCCCTCTTCTCACACCTAAATCTTACCCATTTGCCAAGTGCAAAAGCACATTTAGAGTCTCCCCTGTTTGACACAAAATTCACAGGGAATTTCTATTGAACCTCAGTATCTGCAAAAGATGGAGGCTACAGCACTGTTTCTTCTCCGGAACTTCTTAAATAAAAACTAGGCAGCAGTCATTTACATCAGAATATAGAGACAGGGCTTGAGAATTGTAACTTTATGTGAATCTCAGCAAAAACAGCGTTCAGTGTGAGAGATTGTCCCTTTCTGCTGTACTTGGACAACGCTTCATGTTAGGAGGACTGTATTTCTTGAACATAGAAGGAAATCAGCAGCTCTACTGAACACCAATCCCCACCTCATTCATTACATGTTCTCTCATTCTCAGCCTTTCTTCTTCCATTTCAACCATATCATCCTCTTCATTTTTGGGATCGTACACTTTTTCTAGCTGAAATTGAAAATTAGTAAACGTTAGTTGGAGAAAGGGCTGCTCACTCAAACGACAGAGCACATTTGGAACATTTGCTCAAAACATGAGTTCACCATTTTTCCAATAGAGTGAGAGTGTGTGTGTAATTTTCCTCTTTTACAGTAGTATTTAAGCAACAAGGGAGCCTTTCATTGCTAAGAATGAAGTTTGCAGTTAATTCATGTGGTCTATTGTAATTCAGTGCTGTGAATGTTACAGTAGAATTGACCTTGGCATGCACAGTCTGATCCTATATTTGATTCAAAGCAGGAAGAGTTTCCACACGGTTTCTGGAACAGGAGAGAGTAGCTTTTTTACCAGAGCATGCAGCTGACCCTGTTAGCATTCAGGATATCACAAGACAAATTGAGTGCTTAACTTAATGGTCCACTTCTCTTGCACAATGTCTTTCTAGTGAGTTCATGCTTATTTGCTTCTAGTTAGCTTGCTTAAGTCATTTAGCTTCGCTTGCCTAGGCATAAGTAATTTTAAGGCCCCAGACTATTTGGTTTTAAAATGCAAAATGGTGGGACATAGCTGTCAAAAAAGACTGCCATATATCTTCATTGTATTAGAGGGGATTATGGCAAAGTCTTGTTAGAAATCGGTATTTGCAACTTTACTTTCTTCAAAAATTCAGAGTAGTTTGAATGTATGAGCTTCTATATACACTGTATAGCACATTTCCTCCCTGACTCATGAAATCTAGAAAAAACTGTAAGACTAGATATTGACAGCCATAGTACTGGATCTTTGAATTGGAAGTTTAGGGGTCTTTTCTGCTATACCAACACAGAACCTACTGGAAAAATGAAGATCAAGGCCCTTCATTCACTCATTGATTCTGCAGTTCTCATCACCATAGAATTTCAGGACATTGCTATCATTACCCCTCTGGGAGGCAAAGAAGTACTAATATTTGCATTTTCACAGACCACAAACCAAGGCTTAAAGAAACTAAGAGCCTGTCTACTTTATCAGATGTACATGTGCTCCAAACTAGCTAGATGCAAAGTACGTGAAATTTCTGTAGCCACATCCAAAATGCGCTGTCTTTGAGCCAGTTCATACAAGCGTGACCTTTTTTTCTCCCAACAAGACATAAGCGCTGGATAAGGACAGCTACCCAGCTCCAGAAGCTCTACCAGGCTGCATCTAGCCAGAGCAGGAGTGCAGCCCTCTGCATTGCAATTTATACAGGTATACCTACCTTGCAGATTAATTATAAAATCTCAGACAAGCCTGTGGCAGAGAAACACACGAGCACTAGTTCTCTGGTGTCTGCGTTCTATGCTTCAACTACTTTATTTTCCTTGCTGATACAATTTTGTAGAAACATTATGGATGCACAAAACTTGGCATGAATAGTCTAATTTGTAGTCCAAAGGCCCCAAATACACTTGGAAAAAATACAGACATCCCTGTAACCATTTACTGAAACAAGTTAAGTTTCTGAACTTTTTTTTTTTTTACCTCTTTAGTAAATAGGGCTTCTAATTCTTGCTCATCCAGGAAACCATCATTATTGACATCTACAAAAAGAAGTGTTGAAAATACAAGTTGAATATGATAGAAAGTAATATACGTAATGGCTCTCCATGAGCTAACTAAGTATCAGCATACACATCTCATGTGGATTAAAAACCTCATTTAACAAGATGCTGGTTACATAGGTTGTTTCTTCAGTTTAGGTTTCTATCAGACATTGGCTGAACTGTATTGCCATTTTTGGTTGGATGGTTGGACAAGTCTGGAGCAATCTTTGTTATCCAACAGTATGACTCTCCAAAATAACTAAAGAATTATGTGAAAATCTACATAAATATGCAGTGCTTGAGACGAGATCACTTCACGATCATAGATGACTTTTCATGACAAATGCAGAAAGAATACTTGATAACTAACGATCCATCTTTTATCCTACACTCTAGTCTGAATAGTGTTATACTATGTCTGAAATTGAAAGAATGCCTACTTCAGATGAGTGTTACTATGCAATATTTTTGTTTAATTGCTTCAAAATTTTTTTATATACTAAGCTGTACAGCAAAAGATTGTTTCAGCTATTTCTGTTTCAGTAAGATATGCACAAAAAAAGCTACCAACAATTTTCAGACCATTATCTTTCAAGATCTCTTTCTAGGAAGAAGAAATAAGGTTTAATAACTATAATACATATTTATATATTTCATAAACCAAGATAAAAGTTCAGACTCAAGCTAGAACACTTCAGTTAAATTATCATCTTTGGGATTAGTCAAATTCTATGTACTGTTCAACCCTTCATAGCCCAGTGCCTGGCAGGATCTGCTCAAGGGTACTTTATTATGAAGCATTTAACCACGTCAGAATGTAAGGTTACACATGTATATAATCACATTTAAAGCAAAATGCCCATTGAGATGCATCCTCATCTTTGCTACTATTTTACTGTTTCTAGCTGCACACTGCTCAGAAATATAGATGCAGGACCAGGGAGCATTTTGGTTTCTGTTTTATTAAGGGAATCTTGCAACTTCTGAAGACGCTTGACACTTCTATGACCATTCCAAAGATAAGGGGTGTCTGGCACTTATCTGCAGAGATGACGAGAAAGCAGGTTTTCCCACACACACCTCTGAGGATTTATTCCTAGTATGTAGTGTGTAAGCAAAGTCATAGGTATGGACAGCCCTCTAAATACCCATACTTCCCTGAGAAATCACTGCTGGTTATTGGCTGTATGATTTTATGAGTAGTCAAACAAAACTCTGTTTTCAACTTTTAAACCCCATTTAAAACTTCGCAGTAAACTTACAAACAATAACATAAATATTTTCTCCTCTACACTCTTCAGATTCATCCAAATTACTTGAGGTATAAGACTTCATCCTAGCATAAGACAAACTTGCCCTCAACAAGAAGGTAACAAAGTCACTTCACTTGTTCATTAAATTAAACTAAATCTCTTACCATGTAATTTGAAAAATGTTTTGGGGTCAAATTCATTAGGATCTAGTCCATCTGCTTCTTCCCACACCTCTTTCAGTTGATCTTTGCTTCCCTGTAGATTGGTTACAAAGAAAAACTATTCAAAAGATGATTAAGTGTAATTTTTCTGCATTACCTTCACATTATGGTTTCTCTGAAAGGTTTTATTTTCTGATTAGTCATGTTGCAAATGGAATCAATGGAACTTACTTTAATTCCCTTTTGGTCAGGTCTAATACTTTCATTAGATAGAAAGTCCCCAGGAAAGAGGGAGTGTCAAGGAAATGCATATTCTGTGGAAAGGAACACCTGTAATAGTAAGTCATGGACACACAGACTCATCTAGCAGTAATAGCTGAAGGAAGTTAAATTAGTTTGCCTTTTCTAGAGCAAATGGTACTACAATGCAGCTCCTTGCAGGCCAGGCATACCATGAAGGGATCCCTACAGTTTTGAATACCATTCTGGCTTCTTCCTCATGAGTTTTAGCTTCTTTGTAAATAATAATTCCGCCAGCAAATAGCATACTTGTACAGAAAAAAAATGGGGGTATATATAGTGGGTTTTGTAATGCTCTCAGCATTGTTCCCACTCTCTGCTCCCATGTCAATGAGAAGAGGCAAATGCTGAGAACAAACAAGATACACCTTTCTCTTTCTTAGCTTTTTCTCTCTGGAAAGGAAAGCTTCCACCCAGTCATGTAAGAACAGATCATGGTCTTACAGGATGGTGAACTTTAGGGTGATCTCCATGTTTTTTCTTCATCTCCTCAAATTTGGATTCTTCTCGCTGCCTCTTTTCTTCATCCAGTGTCTTTAAATACTCTCTCCTCTCATGTTCTTTCATCATCTCATATTTCTTAAACTCCTCATGGCGGGTCTTATCATAGTTTTCCAGGTCACTTGTAGCCTAAAAATATAGATATATGTAGACATATGATTATGCCACACGACTATGTTAACACATAGGACATTAAAAACACTGCATTGTTCAGATCTGTGGGCAAGGCTGACCATGTTGCCATTCTCCTTTTAAACATGAGGTAGATGAGTTGGAGGTTTCCTTTCACATTACAGTGATGCAGAAACATCTCTCCTCACTTCATTACTTTCACAGAAATTAATTTGCAAGGGTTCAACTGCTAGACAATTTTTGCAACTACAAAGTACTGTAAGAAGGCATCAAGGTGTCCTTTCTCATCAATTAATAATAAATTAACTCAAGTTAAGTAAATCCCATACTAATTAAGTGCAGCTTCGAATAGTATCATTAACTCCTTAATTATTTCAGAATAATTTTACAGCCAATGGAGATAAAATTTTCCAAGGGTAAAAAAAAAATCCACAAAAATTACAGAAACCTTGAAATATACCTTATCTTTCAATTTATTTTGAAAATATAAAAACTGTCAAATTCTTGTGTCAGACATGCAGTGCTCTCTAAAGCATATCTGAAATTAAAGTCTTTTTTTCCCCTTGAGAAGTGTATTTTTTTCCAGCAGTTGAAAAAATGCATGCCATGTTTAGCTTAACTGCATCCTCTTAATAAATATGCACTGAAACCCTCCCCCACACCTGTGATTGGTACTGAATCTGCTAAACAGATATTGAATGCCAGGCCTAGCATATGCAATTTCTAATATTGATATCTAAAATTTTACTCTGCTGTGGTTTTGCAGCTTGACGTATATATAATAGATCCCCAAATTTAAATGGCTAGTTTAGGCACGATTATTTATGTCGTTCTATGAGACAACTAAATCATTCAGAAACAGAAATCAGAAAATACACCTGGGAAAAATGTACCCCTATCAAAACTGTATTTAATTTAAAGGCTCCCAGAAAGGCACATTTTATTCTCAAAGTTGTTTGTACAGGCACATGAATGCAAGTCCTGTTAAGATGCCATGCCCAAATTTATGAGCTGTTTAGCATAATGCATACTAACAACAGTTTTCAAGTGTGCAATGGAGACAACTGACTTTTCTCTGAAAATGAAAACTGCATGTCATTTATTAAAAAAATGGTATATATAAAAGGATTTGCCTATACCAGAGGAAAAAAGCATAATAATCAATATCAAAAATGCCCATAACAGTTTATATCTAGCACTCACTGCTTTGATCAACATATCTAAGTCTTTAGGTTCAAACGTGTCAGGATTCTGATGGTTCAGGTGTTCAAACTGTTTAAGGAGAGCCTGATGGTCCATGCCAGTGTCTGAAAGAATAAGATACAAATGTAAAACATTAAAATAAGCTTGAAATCAAGTGAGACCAGGAAGTTAAAAACTTTCATATAGGAGCTTGGGCCTTGTAAGTACCTGAGGCTCTCTGAGGACTGGATAATTTTTTCACTGTTGGAGGAAACTATGGCAACACTTCTAAAGTTGCTTTTCTTGAAGCAGATTGGCAAACTTCGTAGCAATTTGCTCTATATTCCTTCTGATGAGTCAGTGTTGCATTTCACATAATAGTTTAACATGCACTAATTAAGGCTTGTGTTTCAGCAAGGAAAGGTACGGTCAACTTGAGCCTCACAAACTAAGAAAAATATTTTTTTCTCTTTTATATAAATTAGATAGTTGAAGTTATGTGCAGTATCAAAGCTAACAACTTGCATCTTTTTCCTGACCTGGGAGAAGTCTGACTCTTCTGTTGCCATGTACGTTTTGCAAATGAGTTAAATCTGGCCAAAGATGTTGGTACAATATGGTGTATAATTATATCAAATCAGATAAGCAGATATTCAAATTTCATTTGTGCAAAATGACAAGTGCAAGACAGTGGAGAGTCAGGTGCTGTGTCTGCAAGTTGCAAACATTTCTCTCTTCCTTATGACAGGAACGATATCCAACAGTATCAATACACGATGCACTAACAACAAAACACATTTCTACAACATGCTTTCCCAGCTGTTACCATGCTTTCTGACTGCTAAATACTAGATAATAACGCTATCTTAAGCAGCATACACTTTGATATTTTACGTATAACAATTTTGACAAGCTTTTGCTGGATGGCTTAGCAAAGAATATTTTATTTGTTTTAAAAAAAAATTGGAAAACACTATTTTGAACATGTTATTCTTTGGCAAACTATCTGTCTTACACTCAATGCTCTGTATTATCACAAAACAGCAAACACTGGCTAGGGTGGATTTCAACCATCGTTCCTCCCTGGTGAGATCATGATTTCTGTTGAAATACATATGCCTTAGCCTGTTTGTAAAACATTGTTAGAAGTATAATAATAGGCTTAAAAAAACCCCAAACAAACAAAGCCCAAACCAAACCAAACAAACCCCCCCCCAACCCCTAACATTCTTCTGTGCTGTACCGATTAGTGTAGTAGGATCTTGTTGAAAATGTTTAAAACCATATCTGGACCAGGACTGAATACATGCAGAATATAATCTCAAATCTGTTTGTTTTTTTTTTTAACCTGATGCATCTGAGAGGGAAGAAAACAGGGGGGGTTGTGTGCTTTCTTTTTCTTTTTTTTAGATCACATAGAAGACTAAGATATTAAGTGATGTTATAGGGAAAAGATTAACAGAACAAATAAAAGGAAATCGAACAGCTCTACCTGCTGTTACCATAGAATGCTCTTTTGTACATGTTCCAAGGTGTTGCCTAGGTGTACAGATGCAGCGCTATTTTATAGATAATCTGGCCATACTTCTTGTATGTGATGTGAAGGGCTCACTGGCAGGGCTGATTATAGACTTTACAAAATGTTTTCCCACTTCTGATGTTTTTACATTTTAGTAGTTATCTGAGTATTCTGAACTGCAATAATCTGCCTTTGTTCTTTCCCAAATGTTAAGATCTCACACTTATAATGTAACAGATCTGACCTGTTGGGGGGAATTATTTTTCTAAAGCGCAATCTGTTAGTTCCTCTTGATTTATGGAAGTAGAGAGGGCTAGAAGTAATCAGCCCATTAAACTATTTAAAAATTTCAAAATACACAAAATTACTATGTACACAATCTGGTATTAGCTGCTGTCAACTAGCTCACTGTGAGTGTCACCATGACATCACTGGACTGCTTGCCTGCAATGGGAGCATAAGACCAGGATCTTGGCAGCTAAAGAGCCACCTGAGGGAGAAGAACACGAGGTCTAGCAGGTTTGTGAGGCAATGTGCTGACTCCTGTGGAGGGGCTACCCCTGGTCTGCACTGTCTAGCTACCAGTGGACTGTACTCTCTGGACTAGAACTTTCATTAAATGAAAGCAAAGGACAGAAAGGTGATCTGATGCTCTCAGCAAACTCTTTATTATTATTCATGAATTATACTATGGTAGCACCCAAAGACTTCATTGGAAAGGTACTAAACTGTAAATACCTTTTTTCCCAAATCAATCTGATGTTTTCTTGACCCTAGTAACATCCCCATAAACACATATTTGCACATGCATACTTGTTCAGTCTACTCGCCACCTCTAAATTCAGCTTAGTCTAAAAGACAGATCCTTATTCTTGGAGTATTTTAAATTGATACATTACCTATTCAATTCACCGGGATCCCTCCCTATAACTTGCACAAGTTTTTAATAATAAAATAATCTGCACAGACAAATTAAGCCCTTTTAATTAGAGCTTCTTTGTCAAAAACAGCATGTCAGAAACAAGATCATGCAGTCCATCATTAGGATCTTTGTTTATGAGCAACTAATTCTCTTCAAAAAGAAACCACTAATAAGAAATTTACAGAATTAGTTCTAAATGCAAACTTTAAAAATTCTTCAGTAATAAGAAATAAAAAGGGATAGCACCATTTCCCACAAAAACATACAGCAATCAGAATCATTAGAAACCTGCATACTTTATTCATTAAAAGAAATCATCTGAGTTTGTACAATTTCATTAGCAATTAAGAAAATGCTATGGCGAATTTTTTTCACTCCAAATGGTTTTTATTCAGGAGCTTAAAACTGCCCAAAAAATAAGAAAAAAAAAATCTTCTAAATTGAAATGTTTAATGTTTGTTATAAATCTGTACAATAACTCTAGCTGGTAGCAAGGGGCCTTAAAAAAAGAAAAAGGAAAACCTTTGTGTTAACTGACTGTAAAAAAAAAAAATTGTTCTCTACCTTGTAAAGACATGAAATGCTATGTCATATTGTATTCTCAAACATAGTCCCATTCTGTTACTAGTTCTCAATGAGTAATCTATAAATCGATGCACTACAAAAATAAAAAAAGAGGTTGAAAAACGATTAGAAGTATCTGAAAAATCCACTGCCAGAATCCAGTTTAGTTAGTTATAAAACACAGGTGGCTTTTCTCCAGTTTCCTAAGAGATAGGTGTTTACTGGCCCTAGGCCAGCTCAGAAAGGACACTCACTTTCAGCTTACAGTCATGATTGTTGACAACAAACAAAGCATAACTGATGGACTTTCGGCACCTCTCCAAAACAATCTCACCTGTTAACTCACTTAGTTAAATTTTGTATTCTTACCTTGAACAGAATCCATTTTAGCTTTAATTAACATTCTTAATCTTGCCACCTCTTGTCTTTTCAGTTCATCCAGCCGTGTTCTCACATGGTGGCTTACTAAATCAAGCTCTCTGCTTAGTTTTCCACTCTGTCAAAAAACAAAAGTTATGTATGTATGTAGGATTCCCATTAGACATGAGCTGCAAGACAGCAGACTAGTGGCAGTCTTTGGCAATACTGTAGCCCACACTGTAAAAATCTCAAAATTTTTTTCAAAGAGCAGATTCAAATTTTTTTAAGCCTATGGTTATAGAAACAGACAGGAATCCTAAAAGTATTCTGAAATGAGAATTTCTAAGCTTCTTGCTCTTCCAAAGAGCAAAAGCGTGACCTTGAAGCAGCAATATCTAATAATGTTTAAGAAATGACAAATGATCAAATGTTCTCAAATTAGTTCAAAAGAGCTGTGAGATGCACACAAAGTGTTGTGTTCTTCATCCACTTGATGACGGCTGTAAGACTTGAGAGAAGGTACAATCACAGCAACAGCCACCAATGTGTATTGCAAGAACATTTATCAGGATCTGGAAATGGATAGTAACCTTCCCAGGTTACACTATATGTAGCACAGAAGAAAAAGGAGCCAAAAAGCTGCCAATGGCAACGAGGGATTAAAGGAAATGCAAAAGGCAGAATCTCCTCTTTAAGTCTATCACTTTAGACTGTTTCCTACCTGCCCTTGCTGAATTTCTAGCTCATAAAGGGGAATGCAGAACAGCCACCACCTACAGCCAGGAACTGAAGTAGAAAAGACAAGAATGTGGTGAGGTTTTGGAGAGAGTGCTGTGTGGATTGGCACAAAAGAAAGGACAGCAGCGGAGAAAGGCAGAGGTCTGTTTTATTCCTATATACATTGACTTCAACTCTAGCACAACTCCTCACTTTTCCCAGATTTTGAAATCTGACTGTCTTGTAATTCTCTTCCATGTCATCATATTTATTTGTGACGCACTATCCTAATCTCAGAAGGCAGATATACCTCCGTGTTCCAAACAGTGTTCCAAACTACTCAGTAGGCAACAGCGAGTGAGAGCTACACTTGCAGCTGTTTTGATGTACATGACGGTTCACCTACCCATATGAAGTCTGAAACTGGCTTTTTAGTATATAGGCAGAAGGCAGAAACTATGCATTCAAGTATACATTACTGGGGGGAGAGGGTTTAAGCTATGGTATATTCTTTAATGAACAGAAGTTCTGCTGTCCCTTGACTAAAGACAAAGATCTAGTAAGAGTTAAATACCTAAGTAAATAAAAATGAGAGGAAATTTAAGCTCACAAAAATTGAGATGAATATGAAAAAAGAAAAGGAAGAAAGAATACAACATACATGGCTCATGATTATGGATTTAATTAACCTTAATTTAACTATTTTTTTGTACCTACCTTTATTTCCTCTATGTCAGCAGTCTGGAGTTTCTCCCTGAAATGCTTATCTGTTTCCAAGACATCTATTACTTGCCTGAGATATTCATCATAATAAAGTCCTGTATCCTTCAAAAAAAGAACGTGAAATTGAGATAAGACTATACTACCAAACCTTTCATTTTGTTTAAATACAATGATTAAACTGAAACTCAAATCTCGACAGCACATGCATTATACTCTCTCTTACATATCTTCATTTTTTCTCATTTGCATCATTGCCCTATAACAACTTATGATTCAGTTGTTTCAGTAACTGACAGGGAAGAGGAGAAAAGTGTTTAGGAACCCATGTAATACACAAGCACCTTTCATGTTAATATAGCTGGGGTTTTTTGAAACAGTGTAATTCATTCATTATTGTTCTATTTGAAACACTGAACTGGAATCACTGAGTAGAATTTCCTAAGCCACCACTCAATTGCTTGAAAGAAGTCTCTGCGGTACAGTAAGCAGTTCTTCCTATTGTAAGTTGGGGAATTCCTTCCATCTGCCACCTCACCTTTAGCCACTCATGGAAAAAAAATAAGATAACAAATTTAAACGGAACCTGACCATAGTAGATGGTAGACTGTATGACAATACTGATTAATACTAGTTTCCTTCCTGCAAGTAACTCCAGTAAATAACATCTAAATTTCAGGAAGGGAGTTTGCTATAGCCAGATTACTAACAATTAGGAAAAAATACTTAATTAGATAAAATTTCATTACACTTACTGGATTTTCTACCTTCTCTCCTTCTATGTGGCCTTCTCCTTTGACTTTTGTCTTATCTATATCTATAGGTACAGCTTCCAAGGTCATTAGGAGACATGTCATCAGCAAAATACACTGTTGGGGCAGAACAGATAGCCACTTCATCTGAAATGAGACCAAGACACAAAAATTAACATAAATGATGTTATCATACTGCACTGATTAGAATTTTTTGATGTTCCTACATAGATACCTGTAATAACCCACTTCCCACATGTTCTACTGCTCTCAAGGAACACTAAAACTCAAAGAATTAAATACAGCTTTAATTTTTAAAGGCCATTATTACACAAGCAGTTTTCCTCAGATAGGTTTACCACACAACTCTAAAATTAAGGTGTACTGTAAACGGCGAGAAGTTTTTAACATGTTGAGGTATTATCAATGGCTCTGCAGAACAGGTGGGAACACCCAATGTTCATACACTTGTTTAGGACGGCGCAGTCTTGCATAACTAATACTGATGTTCCTATTCTGATCTTTGCTGAAGTTATTGGCAGACTCCTGGAGATAATCATGGACACTGAGTCAGATCTTAGTGTAATAATGCCAGTAGTTTTGATGTTTCAGCAATGGAGTACTTTACCTAATTTGGAGTCAATATCCCCTCCAAAATTTATTTGAAGGAAAAGTATTTTACAATCCATGTTATATCCATATTTCAAGTCAATAGAGTTTCCTGAAAAAAGTGTTTACACTACATGAAACTGTTGCTGAGGCTGGGGTTTTATTAAGCCAGTCTACCCTAGGCTTTCTTTGGTGTCTTATATGGGGCTAACTCACACATAGATGAGCACTGAGCACTTTGAGAGTTCTTGACGTCTGTCTTCTCCCCCTCTATCAAATTTGGTTGAAAATAGTTCAATTCATTCAGAAACTGATATGATGGAATACTTCAACAGTGTGAGTACAGGAAATACAGCCAAAAAAGTAGCTGATGATGGTAATCCAGCATCTGACAGCGAAGTCAGGCTCTTGAGACAATTCAGCTAATTCAGCCTATGACAGTCCACAGTCTCTGGATATTCTATAAAAAGCTTGAGCAAACTCCAATGTTATGTTAGTAATATAAATCACTTCCTAGAAAGTGAAAGTTGCCAGACAAATACTGTCTAAAATTAGCTTAGATATGTTAAAGAAAAGGACATAATATTCAAGAAATGTGCAGTCAAACAAATCAAAAGTATACCCGCTACAAGAATTTCTGTATAAGTGCTTTAAGGAGTCATGCAAGTAATTCTATCAAAAGTACTTATGTCCACCATCTGCAAATATCTTTTTTTTTTTTGGCACAGAGGTGGGGGGCGGGGGGGGGACATGACAAACTGTAATTACGGTGTCAGTGCCAGTTTTCCTGACTACATGCTCTGGTACTCGACAGTGAAGCATTACTTTTGTTTGAATTAAGCTCCCCCTTTACTAAGGCAATAAATGTAGATAACGGTACCTACTTAATATTAAACATTGTTGGCATCCTTTATTCATATAACTATTATGTAAAAGAAAGCACTCTTACTAAGAAAAAAAATGGGAAATGCATACAAGATGTGCAGATATATTCTTTCCTTTGTTGGGGATGAGGGAATAGCTGGAGATAAAAATATAGTCACTTATCCATCTTTTGTTTCATATGTCAAAGGCTCAAGAATGACACGATTTCTCTGAAACTGTTTTTTCTTAATCACAGCTTCAGCAAAAAGAGCCTAAATGGAATTCTGCTCACTTATAGCAAATACCTGTTACTTTCATTTAAAAAATTACTAACATCTGATCATTACCAGCTGGGATAGCAGGAGCTATTGTTGCTGCCATATTGAGCATATGAGATTCAATGTCAGCACTACTGTCAGATCCACAACGGCAAGTCTGATTAGCTTTGCCTAGGTCATTCCTTTAAAACAAGCAAACACACAAACAAAAAAGAAAAAACAAACCCAGACTGATTTGCTGGAACTAGTAAGTTAATTTCTACACTTCTACACAAGCTGTTGGCTTGCAGTGACTTTATAGAGCTGATGAATGAAGGAGTTAGTTATTCACTATCACTTTTAAAAATGCCAAAGTTCCAATACTTCAGATGTTTTTAATTACAGAATATTGTTGTATAAATGCTGTGCCTAGGCTTGTCATTTCAACAGGATTTAATCACAGGAAATGATAATAACCAACAAATATTAGGTTTTCAAGTCTCCTAATCTTGATGTAGATGCCAAGGCTGAGTATTTTTTAGTACTAACTGGATGACTTCTATAAACCAAATCACTAAGTTAAGGGACTTGCTCAGAAGTCTCCCTTCCTGTCCTCAGACTGGATCTTCAGACCAGGCTCGGTTACTAGGGCAGATCAACAATGCTGCTGGGAAGTGCTGAACTAGAGCTATCAGTTGAGTCTGCATCTGTTAGCGGTCATACACCAGTCCTTGCTCTTCTAGCCTAAAGAGTGCTAGCTTACCTACAGATTCCTTTTACAGCTTTTCCAGACCTTTGATCATGCTTGTTAGTTTTCTCTGATTCTTTTGCAGTCCTTTAATATCCAATTTGAAATAGAAGAACCTTGGGTAGCCTAGGTTATGCTACAGATTTTATCAGAGCATTGTTTCTGAACAAGAAATGTTTATAAATTCTATAGGTAGGACTGAGAGTATTTGCAAGATGATGGTTCACTTCCAAAGCAGATTGAGATAGAGTTGTGAGAAAGCCATTTTACTTTCCCTTTCAGATGAAAGAAACAGGAAAAAAAGTAAAAGTAAGGCAAACAATTCAGTATCTGTCAACTAAGCGTATTAAAAAAATTAATAGGAGAGAACTGAACCTCAAAACCTACTTTGAAAGATTCTGGACAAACAGCCTGGGCAATAACTTCTCTAAACACAGAGCATCACAGTCAAAAAAATCTACAGGTAAAACAAAAATCCACCTTGTTGAAATTCTTGCAGATTATGAATGGGGCAGTCTAGTAAACTGGAAGTGAAAGGCTGTTAAGTATGCAGGAGGTCTAGGCAATGGATATGAAACTAAACTAATAAAAAACAAAAGACTTATAAAGTATATAATAACTATACTCTCAGTATTTTTAGAAATATTTTTTAAAGTTTATGTATGTTTGAAGTATTCATTTAAAGAAATTGTAGGTTCTGATAATGCTAAAAATTTGGACCCGGATAGATGGATAAATATTTTTCTGACCAAAATATTTTCATATACACAAAATTATAGCAATAAAAGTAATTTAATATTATCATAAGCCACTCTAGTTATGTAAGGTGTGTAAACAGTGTTTTTGAAAATCATATGTGGCTATTATTTGAGCATGCTCATTTCATGTGAGACCAACAGGTCATGTAGTGAGACGAATCATGGCAGAGAGGCCAGAAACTCAAGTGCTAGCCACAGTTATGGCATTGATTCATTCTTTGCCTACAGCAAGTACTAAAGCCAACACTTTCAACAATGACACCTGGTCTTTGATCCATTTTAAAGACATATATAATCTTTTTAAAGCTGCTGACCTAGAACTTCTAGTAATGCGAATAATTGTGGAGATGGGGATTGCCAGTTTAGGTCGAAGCAGGGCACACTGATACACTTTTTAAGACTTTTTCCCTTGCTACTCAGGAAAACTGATACATGAAATGTCCATGCTGAACTGAAACAACTGAGATACAAGCAACCATGTTGGTCTGCCAGTCCTCATAGGAAGGACCACTAATCTCCAGCAGACTTGGGATGGGCAACTGGAACTACACCATCTTAAACTACCTCGGCAGTAGCCAGCGGAGCTTATCTATCAAAAGCCCTAATCAAAGTAAATGCCATTGAATTTCCTGACTTTCTGTGGGATTTGTGCTCATGGGTAATTTGGTTTCCCTTGGAAATACCAAGCTTTGTAATTACATGCTGTCCATACATAATGGGAAAGACTGGATGATATCACAGTATGTTCTTCACATCTATTTGATGTAAGAAGCTACTCTGAAAAGAAGGCTACCTACTGCCCATCAGGCAGTTTTGTTTCAGGTTGTGTTTAGGGTGTTTTTATTGTAGCCCTTTTGATAAAATAGCCCAAAAAATCCACCAGGAAGAATCAAAAGCAGAGAAGACCAAAGTGGATAAGCAAAAAATAGCTCTATCATTGCAGCTGACTTTGCAGACTACTATGCTTAAGACTTAATGTAGTATTTTGAGGAACCCAACTTTTTACACAATCTGTGCTATAACAAGTAAATTGGAAATACATCTATTAGAATAAAAAAAAATTACCTAGTGAAGACAAAATTAATGTGTTTAGGTATCTATTAGTCCAAGACTACGTTAATCAAATTCCCTCAGTAAAAGCAGGTGACTAAGACATACGTCAACCTTTAGAGTGTGACAGTCACAACTGAGTCACTGAGCACATTCTACTCTGACACGTATTAGAAGAGAGAAACCAGGCCCATGGCAAATTCTAACATTAATCAGCTGCAAGAAAACACTCAGTGTCATTCTCAAATTCAGCAACTAGAGGGAAGAGTGACAAGAGGCAGGATGAGAGGAAAACTGGTTCCAGAACTGGGGTTCCAGTTATTGTTCCACTAAACGCTTTACTATTAAGAGTTCATTCCACTCTCAGCCTGTTACCAGCTACCTTCAAGAGTTCCTGACTTTTGAGAAACCCATTCCTGGATGCCCATCCCCTCATAGGCATCAATCACAGTGCTGCAGAAGAAAAGCAATGTCAATTTGATCATCATCATCAGTGGTACACGATGCACAGCATACATCCTCGCGCCCTGCCACGGGTGCGTTGCTGGAGCCTGTTGTTATTACTATTCTTCCTACTGCTATGCAGTTTAATAGAAATATAAATTGTTATGGATCTGCCCTGCTGACTAGTTACTTTCTTAAAGACAGATGGACAGAGCTGATGTTACAATTGTCATCTGGAAGTTAAGTGATTTTAGTCAAAGACGTGTAGTCCACCTAGATGAAAAGGTAGCACAACTCTAATCCGCTCATATCAGAAGTCAACCTCATCTTTCCTAGGGGGATAAACAAACATTTCTACTTGTAATACATAAAGAGAACTAATCATAAAAGTAGTGCTCTAGAACTGACAAATACTGT